GTGCGACGAGTAATTACGAGCCACGAATAAACGCGAGAGAAGCCTGAGCGTCACTTATAATTAAACGCATTCCTCTATTTTTTGGTTCTCTTTCAAGCCGGAATAAAATTTGCAAGAACTCGAGTATCAGCATTACGCGCTCGTGCATTTGCATTTTGCGCGCGCAATGCTCTATTTCAGCCGATCCTTGCGCGATAAACGAACGCGTTTATGCCCGCGTTTTGCCGTAAAATAAGCGGTGGCTCTATTTACTGAATACTGAAATATGACGCTTTTAATGAAATTGTATCTGGCGGCGTGGCGGCCGAAAACCAAGCGATCTCCCCGGCGAGATGTGCGCATCCGGAGTTATCGTACACCGATTTAGTCTACTTTGGAGCAGTTGTTTCACATTATTATTATTATCTCATGCCATTGGTAATTTTTAACGTGTAATTTTCAACCGAAAGATGTTGCTTTTCGCACACTTATCTATTTATTGTTATATCGCGTACATGTTTTATCTATCTATTGGTTATCAAGCAATTATGAAATAAATTATATAACTTTTGTTTTTACCAAAATATTAGAATATTTTTGAAACTATATCCTCGTAATCGCTTGATGCACATTCACATGTCCGAAGTGCAGCGCATCGATTTCGCGCGGCATGTTTGCAGCGACGCGAAAATTGAACGCCGAAAACATTCAGCTCGCGCCAGCGTCGAATTTCGGCACGCTGGAAGGTATGCGAACGCGAGGATTAACCGATCGACTGGTCGGTCGAGCTATCAGAATCGGTGATACGAAAAGCCGGGGATCTCCATCAAGCTGATAACGCATATTCGCGTAATGCGTCGACAGCGAGGCAGACGCGGGGGACTGCGGGGGCCGCGAAAGGATGAGGGGGACGGGGGGGGATGCTGCAAGGTAAACGATATTTGTGCGCGGCTGGAAGATCGATAGCAATTTAGCCACCCTTCGTCGTTCTGAACGAACACCTCCCGGCGGCGGTGGTGCACAGCCACATCAACCCCCACCTCCGCCCCCCACGCCGCCACGCAGGTACGTCCACCATCACCGCCGCTGCTTCCTTCCTCCTGCCACAGCCTTTTCCCCCTCGTCTGCCTTCCTCTCTCGCGACCCCGCAACGTGGCCTAGTCAGGACTCATCCATATACATCGAGAAAATTAATATCTGGGCTTCGTCGGGTTCGTTCGCGCGCGCCGTGAATAAACCCCCCGGTTGTGTCCGGGTTTCCAACTCGCCCGTACCCATCCCCTCCGGCGGCAGTCTACCGGTACCCCGTTCTTCCGGTACCCCCGCTCTTCCGCCCTGCACTCCCGCCGCCAGCGATCAACGTCGTGCCGCAGTTTTCCTCTCCCTCGTTTTTTCGCCCCCGCGCGAATGCCTGTCAGGCCTGACTGCGCCGACGTCGTTTAGCGCTGGCTTCGAGTTAAATAAATCTTCCTTTGTTATTTCGCTGTTCCATGGAACAGCGTTGTTACAGCGCATAATGTATTATTATCTATATAGCACATGTTAGTTTCGGTAATGTTCGTCAATAATATAACAATATTACGTAATATATTGTATTCCAATATTATGTTATATTATACAGAGCGTAAATATTATTATAGATAAAGAAAATCTCATCTCAATATCATTCTCGACGTTTAAGTATAACTCGACTTTATCGCAAGGTTTGCTCTAAGCGCGTTGCAAAAAGCATTTATAATATGCACTCTGATAAGCAACTAGGCACCCGGGTTGATGTTAATAACAGCGGCGAGAGAATTGCATTTTTCTTCTGTTGCCGTTTTCTCCCGAAAGATGTTGCGCAACCGCCATTTTCCATTACGCGCCACGTAATCCTTCCTTTATTACTTGCAGAAGGCCGCCGTAATACTTCGTTCTTCGAAGATAAATGTATCGCTACGATGATTAATACGTGTAAGAAAGGAAACGAAAATTTAATTCGAAACCGAGCTCGCATATCGCATATAGCTGTACACGTTTCTACTTTGTTCTATAAAGACAACATATTGTTATATTATAGTATATGTCTTTATTCTCTTGATGGCATTTTAGCATTTTTTGTTTTGAAAGCTAAGAATATTTTACAGAAATACTTAAGAATTACGTATATTTTCTTTTTGCAAATTGCCGAGAGTATCAAATTTCAAATGTCAATTTAAAATATTCTATTTTTTGTTAATATTAAAGTACGATTGTTGAAAAAGTGTTCTATTTTATAACGCGAAAGAGTGACTTGTTTTAGGGAACTTTTTTCTAAACATTTGAAAAATACGAAGAATAAAAGCATCGATTCTATCAAGGAAAATTAATACTCAATTTACATCAATATCCAATCTTTCGTTATACGGTACACTTTTCGCAAGCACGATCGCAATCACTCTCTTTCGTCATTCTGCCGCACGTCAACGTTGTAACCGAGGGTAACGTCCGGCGTAGCCGCAAGCGCGCGCGCGCGCGTATGCCGCTTGTATTTACATATTTAACTAACCCAACGGCGCGGGCATTAGCGCAAACACAGACGGATAATCCGGAATATATTAATCCGCGGCGGGCGCATACCGTCGCTTTGAATTAACGCGAATATTCCTGTGTAAGCCCCCGCACGCGCTTGCAACGTCGAATCGGACGAGTGCACCACCCCGCATGCATATTGCAGGTATGTTAATGCGCTTTCTCTCCACCTCTCTCTCTCCCTCTCTTCCTCTCTTCTTCTCTCTCTATCTCTCCTAGCTTCTCTCCCTCGCGGTACCGTCGTTCACGCAATGCAGCTTGATGCGCACTTTAACGACGTAAGTGGAGAACGAGAGAGAGAGAGAGAACACGAACGTGCTATCGGAACGCTTCCTTGTATCTCTTCGAACGAGTTAGTCTGTCTTTTGAATGCATCAAGAAAATTGTATTATTGCGAGGACAAATGCGAGTACCTTGTATCATGTTTAACATTTAGAGCGATTGTGTCGCTTCAAGTACTCTGCCATGTCCACACAAGATGCTGTTCTCCACTTTTTTGTTTTAGGCCAATATTTCTAAAAGGAGGAATATTTTTTTCCCAAAAGTTAATGCATTTTTATGAACAAACTGAATTAGTGTTTGTTACTTTTGTTTGAATATAATTATTATTATGTAAATAATAACACTGTTATATCGAGATTAATGTGTGTATCGATATTATTATTAATGTGTACAAAATATCTATCAGTATAAAGCCAGAGCTCGGTTGATTTTGGCAGAAAACAATATTTGTCCGCAATACTATTATTATCGATGAACTATTGACTGCAACGCCAATTGACTGATCCGAGAGAATGCGATTTCGCGTTATTGTTAAGGCTTATTAGGATATATCGGTGGTCTCCGCGACAATATTACTCGACCGGATCAACGTCCGCATTGTGTATCGATATTTGCGATATATTTTCCGCGGGAGTCTCGGGATGTGTAAGCCCGATGATGAGAGGAAGGGTCGAGAGCCACGGACGACGGAGCCGTTCGTAAGCCGCTTTCGTCTCCGTACCCCCGGGGGGGGGGGGATTTAAGTCCCGACTTGTGCAGATCAAATTGTCGTCAAATATTTACGGGCATGGGGGCCATTCGTCGTGCGGAGCGCTTCGAGTATGTCGTAACGTCGCCGCATTCGCCACGTCGGATGGGAAAGCTCTGAGAAGTCGCCGTGACGCCATACTCGGCCCGCGTCGTCACGCGCACGCCAAACGTGCTCTTTGAATCCTAATAAGTCGTAAAAATGTGGCGAACTTTACGTGGGTTAATCTTTGATTCTTCATCGAAAGAAATACGAACGCGTATTTTTTTTTATTGATCTCGATTTTACTGCATCATGCTTTTAAAGAGGACTTTTTTTAGCTACTCTTTGCTTTAGTTCGTTTCTTATTCTTCGTAGTAAATATATATGGCACTCGTAAAATATATATATGACACTTTGTTTAAATAAATAAAATTTATACCGTCATTATTGGAAGTTTATAATATTCTATAATACGACAATATGGTTATTACGTGATGCAATATTGATTTGACCGGCATCGTTAGCCGTGAAACAGGACGAGATGTATTTAATACCAAGTGGAGTTAGCTGGTATCCTAAAATGCATAAAGTTTGGCGCACAGCTGTTCTCGTCGTATCGCGGAAATCATCCGGAGTCTCGAGAGATCTCCACTGTCTGCGAGATCTCTCAAGTGTGCTGCAGCGTTGTTGCCGTGTAGTGGCGAGATATGCGAAAGATATGCAAGTTACGCTGCTCTTGTACAGTTGAGAAATTCTCTGTAGCGGATAATTTTATCGTGTGCTGACAATAAAATGAGAACGCAGTCAATACCTAGAATTCAGATGTGTGATGCATTTTTAAGAATTACTTTTGAGTATAACTTTCAAATTTTTATATCGGCAACTGCTTTTCCACGACGAAGTATATGCTGATGGAATGTCGAAATAGAAATATGAAGAAAAAGAAAATTATTTTTAAAATTGAATGATTAATTGAATCAATTGCACGATTGACGTGAAAACGTAAATCATACGCATCATTTATAAAGAGAATTATTTTTGTAGTATGCGCGCGAAGAATCTTGTTCGTTTGTCAACGCCGGTCAGCTGTCAACTTCGAGGTCGCATAAGCTGGCATTGAGACGAATCGACGTCGACGGATTTCAACTCGGCGTTTTAGTTACTCCTCTTTAGTTGAACGCATACATTCATCTACATTATCATTATTTCTTAAAAATTTGTCTCTAAAATAATATGACATATCACAAACTTTGCGATATTAGTTGAGTAAAAAAATATTACCTTTCGAAATTGTTTTCAGATAAACGAAGAGTATACCTCATAAAAAACTTTTATCTCAACTGATTAATTAGTCAGTTTAATAACTTAAATGGTTTATCTTTTGTGTATTTGTATGCATAATTGAAGCTAACCAAACGTTGAAAAATACTAACGTCAATATTTTCCTTTTGTGTTTCAGGAAATGGAAACTTAGAGCTGTTCGATAGTGAGAGCGGGCCGGACCTCACGTTATCACCTCAAACCTTCACGTCAACGGCGGAGGCCTTCATCAATGACAATAGCGACAGTCTCGGGGTTCCAGGAGACAACGATACCGGTAAGTAGCTTTTCATTTCACCTATGAGACCGATCAATTAACAAGATTGATATCCCTCGATATAAAAGTCTCTTATTTTTTAATATAAAAACAGTATTTTATTCTCATGCAAAATTGACTGGTAGTATCGTGAATTTAATTATTAATTTATAGACGAAAGCAATTTTTGAAACATGCAAAGTCGAGTATGTAAAAAAAAAAGAGAAAAATGATGAATTTTTACCTCGTCTAATTCAGTTCGCTGACGCGCTGACGACGAAATTCCGGAGTGCTTAGTGCGAGCAACGTGCTGGAATCGTGGTGCTTAATCCGACTTAGGGCAAGACGATGAATCATAGGATAACTGCGACAATGCAATTCGCGTGACAATGATTTTAACGTGCGACTTCCCGTAATTCGATTTAATTCAATCTGTGAGAGTGCAAAACGTCGATGGGGCGCCCGGAGTCGTTAAGCGGCGGAACACGGGACAATGCATTAACGTAATTGTTGCTCTCCTCGTCAGCGGCACGTAGGAACAGCGGTTATAACTAGTTCGAACAAGTCGGAAGGGGGAGGGTAAGGGAGGGTTGAGAGAAGCCGTTGTCGCGCGTGTGCTGCGGCACATAATGCCTATTGTTTCCGACAAGTATGAGGGGCCACCGTCGGGACAGTCGTGCACAAGTGCAACGCGCGCGCATTGTTTCTTGGGCAAATGTTGAGGGACAATCAGGACTAGCCACCGGATATAGGATATAGCAATAATTTCAATTATTACATTCCACTACCCTTGAGCGAAGATAGCCACGTCAATTCCACGTATTTGAAGAGAATAAAAAATTTTAGACACAGCAGAAAGCTTTTTTACAATTATTTTTATCGAAGAAGAGCGTATTATATAGCGTATTTCAGACCAACTCGTTAATGGCAGATTCCTGAGACGGTTTGGAAATTAAAATCTTTGTCTCCGAAATGATTTCAGGAATCTACTATTAACGGGCGATACGATTGGTCTGAGACATTCTGTTTATCGGAATATTTAAATAATATATCTTCTTTATCTTTTTATTAAATTCTTATTTTAATTCTTATTTTAATTAATTAGGGAAATCTCGGAAAAATTTATTTATTTATCCGAGAGATTTTGCAGAAATAGCGTGCTTTTCTTTTGAAATCGCCGAATAGTCTTGCTGAATTAGATTTTATTTATTATTTCCAACGCATGCAGTATTTTTAGATCTTTGGTAAAATCATCTAAATCATTTATTTGGTTTACAAAGTATGTTATATATGTTCGGCCTTTGATATTATTTTCTAAACAGCAGCTTTCAACAAACATGTCCAATGAATCATGCGTTCTATTTACGAAACGCAATACAGGGCATCGTAGATTGTGTCTCTTAGCGACGTCGTTAATTCCATCGCGCACTTCCCACACGAGTTCTGACGAATATTGAAGATTGAGTTAATCCGAGCCAAAAACGATAATTAATACGCATCGAAACATGTGTTTCGCATAAGTTATTTACTGAAAAGTGTTATTATTCACACGCATGTGGTGGGAGGTTTCATTAATTATACGAAAAATGTCCATTTAATGGACGCACTCCGCTGAGTTCGCCGCGAAAAAGAATATTATCGCATTGCGTGAGTCAGCTGACTGATGACACTCGACACGTCTTGGCAAATGCGATTTTGAGAGCCAAAGACAGCTAGACCTGGTCACGGAGACGCGGGCCAACAACCACGCACGTTCCCGCAATGCCCGCATCGCGTTCCCGCAAGCCACATTTCCCTCACCATGTCACCAGACTGGCCACGATCAACTTCTTATCTGGTTTCCAAATCGTATATGTTATCAACAATTGGAGATTGCTTGCGATACATAACACTTAAAAACATGTTTATCATGCTCTGAGAGTGTATTCTATAAAAAATATAAAGTAACGTAAATTTAACAATATTTTTCATGATTTTTGAGATTTATATATCTTGATAATTACGCTTTAAATTAAAATTTTATCAAGAGTCTATGTAAAACAGCTGAAGAGTGAAATCAATAAATTTTAATAATTTTATTAAATATTAAAATATTTAACTTTTAATATCAAATATTTAAATGCTTGATTTTAAAAATGTAATTTTATAACGAGCGTTTCGGTTTAAATTAAATAGGTCTTTTAAAACCATTTTTATAATTCGAGCGTTTTTTATCTCATTTCACAATTCTCTTATTCTCTATTATTTTACGACATAGAGAGAGAAAGAGAGTTCGTTCAGTCTTCTGCATTACTCTTCGGTCCTTGTATACGCTAGGCGGATTTATTGGAGTCGGTTTGCGACGGGCGAAACGCAGCGCGAGGAAGTCGGCGCCGGATTTTGCCGCCAAACTCCAAACGAGCGCGGTCGGCGCAGTTCTCTTGGAGGGGTGTGCGTATATGAGTTGAAGTATAACTTTCATACGAGTGTAAGTTCGTTAGAACAATTTCACGGCGAGTTGTACCGATGCGATGCGACGCAATGGCGCGAAGAGGCCGCAGAGTTTCCGGCGCGGAAGGCCGCACGGATACGCGGCTCGCCTATGAATAAATCTCATCGCGGCGAGACGATATTTACATATATCGTCTGCCGTCAGACGTTCCAGATATCGTTTGTGCAACTAGCAATAAACTTCATATCAAATAAATAGGAACAAAATATTTGGAATATATCTTTTTCAATTAAATAACAATTAAATTTAATATACTTGACAATACAAATTAATTATTAAATAGTATTTCTGTTGAAATATTATAAATGAATTGCGCTTTCTACTCGCCAAGAGAACTTTTCTCATCAAGTTTACAAAATGATTTTGTGATAGTCGTAATATTGTTGTTTCAATATCATATACTTATTGAAAAGTACACACTACAATTTTTAGTTTGATTTATATTTACTATATGTGAGTTAATTATGTTTGCACCAATAATGAAAGGAGCAATAGTAAGCGTATCAAATTCGCGAAGAAAGTTCATTTTTGCGATCTTCGTTGCGGGAGCAATCCGATAGTTACTGATTGCAGGTTGCGGATAGAACGAGAGAACTGAACGGTCGAATAGCTCCGCGATAGCTCTGTTGTTTCTGAAACAACACCGTGGACTGGGTTGTAAGAAGAGAAGAGCGCAATCGCAATCGGACGTGATGCAGTTTATTTCGGGAGCACTGGGTGGCATTCGTAATTCTGTTGAGTCTAGAAATACACGTTGCTGTTTTCTATTTCGTCCATTAGATCGAATTTCCTACACAAATCTGATGCTAATTTGTTCCATTCGATTAACGATTCGACGCGATGCTGCATTTCGAAATTGTAAATTAATATTGTTTTCTCGCGTTAAAGAAATTATTCGCTTATTATATCACATTCGTATCATTTTCCTCACTTTCGCAATATTAAATTTCCGACGAGCGTCGAAAACATGCCATTTGACATGCATAAAATATAAAAAACACTTGTTTTGTTTCTTCGTATTACCTTTAATTGGCTCTGATGCAGATTACCAATCTATAATTGTAATTATTTAAATTACATTCGTAATTAAGTAATAGTCTTAGTAATTATTTAAATAAATTTCACATAACATAGAATAGAATGGATAATCATGTATCTCTAATAGGCTTTGCGTACTGATAATATACTTTAGAATTTATTAAACTATTATACTAATTGTAAGACACGATAGAGAAACATGTCCGAGCTTGTTTGAAACCGCCTCGTTTCGCTCATTATATCTCATATATACTGATTAAAGTTTCATGCGCGAAATGTCTGCATCAATTGTTACATTATCGTAACCATGTCATAGTGCGGTTCTTCTCAAGCATACAATACGCATCGCACGTATTATTAAGCCTTAATACGACACAGCTCATTTATCGTTATCGATTCCATCATCGAATTTCAGGATTGCAATATACATCTACTGAATAATTCCACAGTACATTTTATATATGACGAAAGTCAATATTAATTAATTACATTATTTTCCATTTTTGCAGTTTGCTTTTTTACTATTGAGATAGTAAACATGTGTGTTTTCTTTTTCTTTCTTTTTTCTTTTTTATTATCAACGTCACATATTCTATAACAATATACGCTTTTACAACAATAGATCAGACTTTCTTTTGACGATAAATTCTGAAATTCGTGCAGTCTTTGTAGTAGAAGGTCGGGAATATTTTATGCATAATACTACGTCATACATTACGCTTGCGCGCTGATTTTCAGCATAAAAGGGTATTCAAATGAGAGGAATTATTTTATGCGTGTCGATATTTTCCATTTCTCATTTTCTTTACGACGGAGAGTTAAAGGGGGAATAGAATTTCAGTTTAAATGATGTCAGATTATTTTGTACGTAGCTCTAGTTAGCGGAGAGAATGCCTCCGATAATACGAGACACGGGAGAGAAACGTGAGAGAGGCCGGCGTCCATAATGACGGCATGGCGCATCGGCGATCGATATAACGCCGCTGGCACTCTCTAAATAACACTGATCGAGATTCGTCGGTGCAATTGCAAAAATCCACAGCCCGCGGTCGTCGCCGTACCATTGGTCGACGCGGAGAGATATCGAAACAGATCCCGTCAGTAGGAGACTCCTCGTCCTCGGATTTCTTCGTCCGCTCTTATCCTTTCTTGCCGCCCCGCTGTCTCCTCCTCCTCCTCCTCCTCTTCCTCTTCTTCGCTTTTCATCCTCCGTTGGAGGGAATTCACTTCGCCGGGTAGTCCTCCGAGATTCCAATGCGCTCTCAAACACGCCGAGATTACGTCGGAGCTTATGGATTCCTTATCCAATCTTTCGATCAGCGCTTGGACTCGGCGTCTCACGCCTTTAGAACCGCGCGTCTACGTGGAACTCATTCGCGAGAAAAACTTGATTTTATGTGTCAAATGATGCTAAATCGACCTGAGTCTGGCAAGCAACGGCGTTCTCAAAGGAATGGGATTTCCTTCCGACGTAAGCGGACATAGAAATTCG